GTGCTGAGATTACAGGTGTGAGCCACTGCACCCGGCCCGGGTGTTAAAATTCTTAAACACCGTACACTGTGCTTTTCACAGTGATTATCTCAGGGAAGTGGGATTCAGGAGGAAATCGAACTGTGAGTTATTTTTTCATTTGTTTTAACCTATGTGTATCACTTTTATAATACCTATTTGGGGGAGAGTGGACTTTTGTTCCCAGTAACTCTTATTCTACCTTATATGAATTTGTCTATTCTAGGCACCTCATGTAAGTGGAACCATGCTATATTTATCCTTTTGTGATTGGCTTGGCTTAGCCTAATATTTTCAAGGGTCATCCATATTGCAGTATGTATCAGTAAGTTATTAGTAAGCTTTTTGTATGTATTAGTAAGCTTTGTGAAGCTTAATATTCTCTTGTATGTATATACTACATTCTATTTATCCATTCATCTGTTGACAGTTGGGTTGTTCCCACCTTTTGGCTATTGTAAATATGCTGCTATGAACTTAGGGGTACAAGTATCTGACTTCCTGCTTCTGGTTCTTTTGGTTATATACCTAGGAGTGGAATCGCTGCATCATAATTCCGTTTAACTTTTTGAGGTACTGCCAAACTTTTCCACAGTGGCTGTACCATTTTGCATTCCCACCAGCAATGTACAACGGTTTTAATTTCTCTACTTTCTAACTAATACACGTTATTTTCTGCTTTTGTTTTTGTCTTTTAAATAACAGCCATCCTATTAACAGTGAAGTAGTATCTCACTCTAGTTTTGATTTGCATTTCCCTAATAGTGATGTTGAGCATCTTTTCATGTGTTTATTGGTCATTTGTGCCTCTTTGGAGAAATGTCTGTTAAAGTCCTTTGCCCATTTTTGAATCAGTTTGTTGTTGTTGTTGACATTTAGGAGTTCTTCATATATTGTGGCCATTAATCCCTTATCCAGATACTGATTTGAAAATATTTTTCTCCCATTCTGTGGTTTCTCTTTATAGTGTCCCTCAACACACAATTTTTAAATTTTGATGTTCAGCTTATCTATTTTTTTTGTTCCCTGTGCTTTGGGTGTCACATCAAAATCATTGCCAAATCTAATGTCATCAAGCTTTTCCCCTATGTTTTCTTCTAAGAGTTTTTATAGTTTTAAGACTTATATTTAGATCTTTGATCTATTTTAGTTTTTGTATATGGTGTGAGGTAAGAGTCCAACATAATTCTTTTGCATGTTCATATCCGGCTTCCCCAGCACCATTTGTTGAAAAGATTGTCCTTTCCCCATTCAGTAGTCTCGCCATTCTCATCAAAAATCAGTTGACTATATATGTAAGAATTTATTTCATTGCGCTATATTGTCTGTCCTTATGCCAGTGCCACACTCTTTTGATTACTGTACCTTTGTAGTAAGTTTTAAAATCAGAAAGTGTGAGTCCTAGAACTTTGTTGTTCTTTTTCAAAATAGTTTTGGCTATTCAGGATTCCTTGAGATTCTGTGTGAATTTTAGGATAGGGTTTTCTATTTCTGCAAAATTTTCTATTGGGATTTTGATATGAATTGCACTGAATCTGTAGATTGCTTTGGGTAGTAATAATCATATGTTAACAATATCAGGTCTTTCAATCTGTGAATGCAGGGTGTTTTGAGGACTTTAAAAATTTCTTTCAGCAGTATTTTGTAGTTTTCAGGTATAAGTCTTTCGTCTCCTTAGTTAAATGTATTCCTAAGTATTTTCTTGTTTTTGACACTACTATAAATGGAATTGTCTTAATTTCCTTTTTGGAAATGCCTAACAATGAATACATTTAGTGTATAGAAATGCAGCTAATTTTTGTGTGATTTTATATCCTGTCTTTTCATTCTCTTGACAGTATCTTTTACAGAGCAAAAATTTTTAATTTTAATGAAGTCCTGCTTATAAATCCTTCTTTCATGGATTGTGCCTTTGGTGTTGTATCTAAAAAACCATTGGAAAGCCCAAGGTCATCTGGATTTTTTCATGTGTTATCTAAAAGTTTTATAGCTTTGATCCATTTTGTTAATTTTTGTGGAGGATATAAAGGTCTGTATGTAGATTTTACTTTTTATTTTTTGGCAGGTTAATGTCCAATTCTAGTACCATTTGTTGAAAAGACTATCCATCCCCTATTGTATTGTCTCTGCTCTTTTGTCAAAGCCAGTTGACTATATTTATGTGAGTCTATTTCCGGGTGCTGTATTCTGTTCCACTGATCTGTTTTCTTTCTTTCACCAGCACACTGTCTTGACTAATATAGCTTTGTAATAAGTCTTGGAGTAATAGTCTTCCAGTTTTGTTCTTCATTGTTGTATTTGCTATTCTATAATAAAACTTAATTTTGTCACTATCCACAAAATAATTTGCTGGTTTGAGATTGCACTGAATCTGTGGATCCAGTTGGGACATATTATTAATAGTGTCTTCCTATCCATGAACACAGGATGTCTTAAAGTCTTTTAAAATTTCTTTCAGCAACGTTTTATAGTTTTCAGGTACAGTCAATTTAACTTTTTAACTTTAGGGTTTTCTGCATGAGATCATGTGATCTGTCAACAGAGATAATTATACTTTTTCCTTTTCATTTTGGATGCTTTTTTCCTTGCCTAATTACTCTAGTTAAAACATAAAATACTATGTTGAACAGGAGTGGCAAAAGTGAGCATCCTTGTCTTCCTGATTTTAGAGGAAAAGCTTTCAGTCTTTCACCATTGAGTGTGATGTTCACTATGATTTTTATACATGGCCTTTGTCATGATGAAGTTCTCCTTTTTTCTAGTTTGAATGTTCAAATGATGATTTTAAATGTGGAAAATAGTGTTTTTTATACAATTTTTCCTTTCTTCATTTCTTATTTTCCCTATGACCCCCCTGTCCCTGCCTGATGAATGTCCCTTTGCTGATGAATGTGTCCATGACTTCAGCTTCAGAGCTTACAAGTAACATAGTGATTTGTCCGAAGGGATTCTTAGTGCCAGTCTGCCTGCCGTGTAGTCACTGCTCTTGGTAGCTAGAGACGTGGAACTTGGGAGGCCCCTGAGGACAGCATCACTCCATTTGCAAGTTTATGTGTAGTGTCTGAGACTTGCTTCAGGAAGTATAATGTCAAAATAATGTAATACATCCTTTCCCAGGAATTATTCTTGACATAAAATAGCAGGTTGGCAATGCAGTATATTTGTGGGAAATTGAGGAAATAATGGTAACTGTCCAGTGGAAGTTAAAGGTTCAAAGAAAGAAGTGAGAATTGAGTTGCAGGGAGGCAGTAGGATGTGCCTTCTAGGTACTGGGCTCAGGCAACAAAGGCATATTCAAGACTGTCTAGGCCCCTGATACACAGGGCCTGTCTGTCTAGTCCTCTGTCACACTTTGCCTCCAGTTTCCCTGATGGGATGTCTGCTACTGTCACGGACAGAAAGGCTGTGGCCTGGAAACTTGTCTTTGTACTCGAGTGCTTTTCCATACACAGCTAGGTTTCTGCTTGCTACCCAACTTTAATAAATATATTTTTTAAAGATACATACCTGGTCTATAAAGACAAATGATTAACATAAGAGTCAGGAAAACAGCTACTTCTGGGCAGAGGAAGGGGAATGATCTTTGGTAAGAAGCACACGGCCACACAGGTTGCCCACTGCACAACTCTAGGAGATGCCATGCTGTGCAGAGTCCATAGGCATTCATATTTTTTTCTACAGAGTAACGTACATTTTATATAGATTTATGAATATCTGATTGCATCAGGAATTGGCAAACTGTCTCAAAAGGACCAGAGAATAAATACAGTAAGTCATCATTTAATGTCATCAATAGGTTCTTGGAAACTGCAAGTTTTAAGGCAAAATGACATACAGGAGGTCCTCCAGTAAGTTTCCTTTTATGTTTAGTTGTAACATTGATGAGGAAAAAAAATGGTTTCTTTATACATTGTTTCACATAAAGTCACAATTTTCAAGAACCTGTCATGACAGTCCTCAATGTATTTTAATCTTTGCAACACATAAGGTCTCTGCCCCAGTGACTCAGTTTGGTGTAGTGTAAAAGCAGCCAAAAAATAATGTAAACAAATGGGCATGGCTGTGTTCCAGGGAAACTTTATTTACAAAACCAGGTGGCTGACTGGATTTGTTTTAGGGCTATAGTTTACCAAACTCCAGGTTACACAATTAAACCTTTAAAAGAAAAAAGAAATGTAGCTGTGATTTACCTAGGAACTGAGAGTACAGAGTCTGGACAGAGCAAGTTGATAGCAAAGCCTTCTGTGATCTATGTTTATATATTTTTTGAGATGGAGTTTCGCTTTTGTTGCCCAAGCTGGACTACAATGGTATGATCTTGGCTCACTGCAACCCCTCACCTCCCAGGTTCAAGCGATTCTCCTGCCTCAGCCTCCTGAGTAGCTGGGATTACAGGCATGCGCCACCATGCCCACCTAATTTTTGTATTTTCAGCAGAGACAGGGTTTCTTCATGTTGGTCAGGCTGGTCTTGAACGCCTGACCTCGTGATCCGCCTGCCTCAGCCTCCCAATGTGCTGGTATTACAGGCGTGAGGCAACACACTCGACCATCTATGTTCATTTTTAAATGATCTAAATTTGATTTTTTTTAATGAGCTTGGAGCTTTGTCCTCTATACTGTAACACATTGACAGAAAACTGCAATTGAAACTTTGAATTCATCAGGAAACCATTTTCTCAGAATTATCCAGATGAATTTTCATTAATAGTAAAACCAACATAATTGATCATCACCAGATGTCAGGCATGATGCCAGGTGCTTTACACGTTATTTCTCTTTATTACAATAGTTCTTAAAAGTAGGTATTTTTTTGTCTTCAGTTTGCAACTGAGAAAGGTTAACTTTTCTAAGGCTGTATAGCTAATAAAGCTGCGATTTTAAACCTGGGTCATTCTGCTTCAAAGTTCAGTCTTTTTTCTACAGTACATTGCCTCTATATAAAAGGCATCATTTTAATGCTGCCAAAATCAATTTGTTTAGATTGTCTTCGCAGTTTTACTGACTTAGAAGAACTCGATGAGACAGAGTTATATATGTGCCATAAATGCAAAAAGAAACAAAAGTCCACAAAAAAGTTTTGGATTCAAAAACTACCCAAGGTGAGTGTTGAATTTCAAGTTATGAAGCAATTTCAAGGGGAAAACGCTTGACTCATAAGACCATGTCTATAACTTTATACTATATGAACTGTTCTGTATTTGTCTCTAGGGTTTTCAGTAAAAGTGAAAGCCTTTACAGAATGAATGCATAAGGTATGCATGGAAGAATGATTGATAGAGTAGCTAAAATGTTATTTAAGAGACTGTAGTACTGAACTGATAGTACTATCAAACTTTTGACTGAAAGGTAAATTAGGTGTTCACAATCTTTGACCTCATCTCTGTCCTCCAGGTGCTATGCTTACATTTGAAAAGATTTCACTGGACAGCATATTTAAGAAATAAAGTTGATACATATGTAGAGTTTCCACTGAGAGGCCTGGACATGAAATGCTACTTACTAGAGGTAAGGTGATTACCGTTTTAGCATGGCGAAAAGACTGTCATCACATGGAGAGGGCAGAAGTCATCGAGATAGGAGATGTTGATGTCATTGATCACTGTTCCTAACTCCATCCTGTGGATGCCTTCTTCCTTGTTCTGTAGCCCGAGAACAGTGGCCCAGAGAGCTGCCTGTACGACCTCGCCGCTGTGGTGGTGCACCATGGTTCCGGGTGAGTACAGCCAGCTTCTGTTGGATGGGAGTATCTGGTGGCCTGCACAGTGACCTGCAGTTTTGCACCACTCTTGATAGTTCTCCCTAAACTCCGTAAAAAATGGATTGAGATACAGTTAAGTGGGTGGAATTTCCTTCAGTTTTGGTGTGGAAGAGTACTCCTGAGATGATGTTGTGAGACCTTAAGGGAAGGTATATAAAAGTCAAACGGAGGTTCATTTGAACCCAGTCTATTTGTGCCCAAAATCCTGAGGCATCCTTACTCCAAATAGCTTATTTCTTTGCCATATGAAATTTAAATGGGGCAAAAAAGGGGAAATTATTTGGAAGACCTTATTCCATGTCATCTACTTTAAAGACTCATTTTAAATGTTAACATTATTTTTCCCCCTGCAAGTTTGTGTTAGGGTCTATCCTTCTAGTGTTTGGTCTGAGGGTAGCTATTTTACCTTCAAACTTAGTACTACTGTATGTGGGCAAACAACTATCCATGTTGAAAATCCTTTTCCCGCAGAGGTTTGAAGTCGCGGTAATGTCTACGCTCACACAGTGTTACATATGACACGTCTTATTCTCACTGCTTTATAGGCACCTGGCTTTCTTCTCCTTGGAAGTTTGTAGGATCCTCTATCTTTGGACTTAAATATCATTAAATGTATTCCTGCTTGGTAGCTGGTAGGGACACTTTTAGTTTGGTGCCTTCAGCTCATGAAAATGTTTTATACTGCAGGTCTTACCCCATTCTTGCTTCTCTGTTCTGGAACCCCTACTATATGGATAGTGAATTTCCTGGATCTCTTTTCCACATGTCTTAAATATTCTTTAATCATTTCTATCTCTGTTTCTAAAGACTGCCATGGCCTACTTTTCCAAATCACCAATTTGGGTTTCATCTGTATCCAAATAAAAGATTAGCTCCTCCATATAATATTTATATTGCAGCAATCACATTTTTCTGGTAACTTTTTCATAACAGCCTATTATTATTTTATGGTTGCACTATCTTTTTGAAACTCTTAGCACTAATTAAAAAATTATAAAGCTCTCTTAGGTTTCCTGCATTGAGTTCCTCAGGGTTGATTGCTTTACTTGTTCTTCCTAGTATTTCTTCCCCTCAAGAGAGTTCCTCATCTCCGTTTCCTCCGTTAGTCCAGGACCGTCTGCTTTGTGTTCTAGCAAACCCTCAATTTCTGGTCAGTTTGGAGGAAGGTAAAAACATGAGTTTAAACTAAAAGTCTGGGATGTATTATTTACCTATTGAAATTTAAATCTAACATGATATAGTTGTACAGATCCTTTTGTGATTTCTGAGGTTTTTCTTTGGTCTTTTGCCTCTTTTTTACAGGGTTGGTTCTGGACATTACACAGCATACGCAACTCATGAAGGCCGCTGGTTCCACTTCAATGACAGTACTGTAACACTGACTGATGAGGAGACTGTGGTGAAGGCAAAGGCCTACATCCTTTTCTACGTGGAACGCCAGGCCAGAGCTGGATCAGATAAACTTTAATACCTCCTCCTAATCATTATTCATCAACCATACCAGAGAAACATTTCCAGTTTTCCACAAATACTTGATCCAAGATTTAATTTCATTATGCACTTTTCAATTTCCTATTTTGGGTTTAGTTTTGTCAATGGTAGTGACTTACTGAACATGGGCACCAACTAATTTTGTTGTTGTTCTACCAGAAAACCTCAGCAGATGTTTTGATTTGCTGCTTTAGTTGTAATAATTCAATTTTTATATGTAGTTTTAAGAACTTAGTCTTATTTGACTTTTTTATGTTAATGTTTTCAGTTCTCACTTTGAGGCACATTTACATCAATGCTTTTGTTACTCACACTTTTCACAGCTGTAGTGGAGATCACGTTGACTCTAAATCAAGGATCATGTGTGCACTTAACTTGTTGCCCACAAAATTTCACAGTGACTGCTGAGCAATCCTCCTTTTTGCCTGTAAAAGATAACAAAGGGCATCATTAAGTAGACCAGGTAATTACTGCTTGTCTCAAGGCTGCTGTTTATCAGCACTAACTAAATAAATTTGTTGGTTCAGTTGTACCTGTCCTGCAAATACTAGAATTACTCTTTGTTGGCTTTTTTGGTTTTGGGGCATACTTGTTTGCGGGGAGGTAAGATGAGAGTAAAGAGCAAATGCATTTAATGTTTAAAAAACATCATTGACATGGTATAGGTGTTACCTAGTGAGGTAAAGCCATGGCATCTGCCCCCTTTTTGAATCAGTGTCTCATTTCCCGTGGTTGTAGGACGGGAAGTCACTGCGTGTCCACTTTAGACTTACTGCTTATTTGGTATCTTAGTCTGAGGTGTGAACCTCTGGTATGTACTTCAATCATCACCTGCATTTCAGTTCATCACTAGGGGAGTCTGATTCCACAGGAGGAAATTTAGTCTTTGCTGCTCTGGGTTTTAACACCCCTCATTGGCCTATCCTAATAGCAGAACAAGTTGAAAATAATCTCATTTTGAGTAAGTAGTTTTCATGGTTTAGTTTTTCTTATTGAGACAGAGTCTCCCTCTGTTGCCCAGGCTGGAACGTAATGGTACCATCTCAGCTCACTGCAACCTCCATCTCCCAGGTTCAAGCAATTCTCCTGCCTTCAGATCCCGAGTAGCTGGGATTACAGGCACCCACCATCACGCCCAGCTAATATTTTTTATTTTTAGTAGAGACAGGGTTTCACCATGTTGGCCAGGCGGGTCTTAAAAACTCCTGACCTCAGGTGCTCCACCCGCCTCAGCCTCCCAAAGTGCTGAGATTACAGGCATAAGCCACCATGCCCAGGCTGTTCTATTAAAAAAGAAAAATGGTCAAGATGTTTTTAAGCTTATGAATGTAAAAACAGTCTGGTGGGCTGGGCGTGGTAGCTCACGCCTGTAATCCCAGCACTTTGGGAGGCCGAGGCGGGTGGATCACGAGGTCAGGAGTTTGAGACCAGCCTGGCCAATATGGTGAAACCCCATCTCTACTAAAATTATAAAAATTAGCCAGGCATGGTGGCAGGTGCCTGTAGTCCCAGCTACTCAAGAGACTGAGGCAGGATAATCGTCTGAACCCAGGAGGCGGAGGTTGCAGTGAGCCGAGATAGTGCCATTGCACTCCAGCCTGGGCAACGGAGCAAGACTGTCTCAAAAACAAAAAGTCTGGTGGCTCTCCCTCAGGTTGGATATCTGAAGTTGTAGGAGCAGGTGTAGCTCCATTCCATTTTAATATTAACTGGATAAATCACCTATCTTCCCAGAGCATATCGGCTAAACACTTTAACATGACAAGGAGCAAACTGCAATTATGTATAAACCTATATCCTCCAATACTATGCCTCCTAGCTACAAGTGGTTATTGAAATTTAAATCAGAAACTCAGTTCCTTCAGTTACACTCACCACCTTTCAAGTACTCAACACCCACATATGGCCTTAGACAGTGCTGGCCTAAATTTTCACTCCAAAGCATAAAGTTTGCCATCATGTTTACATCTTACAATTTAGAGTCCTAAAAGGTCATAGGGAAATGTGTGCTTATATTAATTCACAATGCTAAATTATATTAGGTTAAACTGTATGAAACTGCTATTTGACAAGTTTCTGAGCTACAAAAATGACAGTTCCACCTGATCTGATCTATCGGTACATCACCACATCTAATTGAACCTGAAATGTGAGTCGCCTTTGATCTTGGGAAGTATTTCCTATGAATCCAGGCTCTTTGACTTAGAAGATTGAGAGCTGTAACTTCTTTTTTTTTTTTTTTTTGAGACGGAGTTTCACTCATGTTACCCAGGCTAGAGTGCAATGGCGCAATCTCGGCTCACCGCAACCTCCGCCTCCTGGGTTCAGGCAATTCTCCTGCCTCAGCCTCCTGAGTAGCTGGGATTACAGGCACGCACCACCATGCCCAGCTAATTTTTTGTATTTTTAGTAGAGACGGGGTTTCACCATGTTGACCAGGATGGTCTCAATCTCTTGACCTCGTGATCCACCCGCCTCGGCCTCCCAAAGTGCTGGGATTACAGGCTTGAGCCACCGCGCCCGGCTAGAGAGCTGTAACTTCTAACACTGATACTTCGCTCTTCAGTCTCTCTGAATGGGCAGCTGTTATAACTTAAAACAGTATAGGCCTGGTCAGAGTTCATGGCGAAAAGCAGCTGTATTTTTATACCAAATGGAACTTTTTAGCAACAGATTGGACTACTTTGTCGGGCAAAGTGGTCTTCAGACAGGTGATGCCGTTGGCTTAAGAGATGAACATGTCTTCTCTCTGAATTTGTTTTTATTGGTTGGTTTTACTTGAACAGAAGCGTCTGGATGGTATCATGAAGATTGTTTAGAAAAGTGATTGGATCCATTTGAATTGTGCACTTGAACACCAGTGATGTAAATGTGCCTAATTGTATTTTAATTTTTAACTGTGTAGCCTTACCACACCTATTTTGAAAGCTGATCTTTTGTGCTGTCCAGGGCTTTCCCCTGGTGCCATGTTGTCTCCAGCATGTATGTGGCTTCTCACTCAGAGCTTCTGCTGAGGCAGGGCCTCTCACTGAGTCACATGGCTCCTTGGAACAAGAAAACTTTCTCAGAAGTCCTCCCACACAGGTGGGTGATAGAAACAGTTTGTGGCAACACAAATCTCTCTCCATGGTGGAGAAACCTTTGCTTATCCACTGTATTCTACTCAGTGTATAGTGATGACAAATGTACTAGAATTAAACCAGTCAAGTGTACTGGCCCAGGGTGAGTGTTAAATGTGTATCTCGCCTGTGGAACCTACTCAGCAGCTTGGTTTCTGGGGTTGGGGACATATTTATTTCTTAAAGCCAAACCTCTCCTTTATTGGTTTAGTGTACACAAGTCTATTTAGATACACTTATCCCACTTTAACCTCCACCAGCCCCTAAACTCTCTCCTGTAACCTCTGCTGCTGAAGTGGCCTCTTCACTTGGGCCCTGGAAAAGCCCATGGAAACAAGTGTGTTCCTGCAGCCAAGGCCTGGGTCCCAGGTGACTAAGAGTAGCCATAGGAAGGTGAGTAAGGAGAAGTGGGCATGTGGTGTCTGTAGTCCAAGGTCTCTGCGTCTCATTAGTGGGTGCAGGGCCTTCCCCCTCAGGTGTGAGCATGATGGACTCTAGACTGCCTTTCATGAGCGTTGGTCATGCTGTGATGTCATCATCTGCCATTAAAACCCAGTTTGTATGATGCCAAGAGGATTGTTTAATTGTGCAAGTGACTGATTCATTTAAGTTGTAATCACATCCCTTTTCTGCTTCACCAACCTGAACTGTTTTAAAAAATATCATTAAAAGTCTGTTCTCTTTACTTTGACTTATTTCTGAACACCTTTTTTCAGTGGAGCCACATAAATCATGATGTACTTACTCAAGCTGTGCGCCAACAGAATCCCCATGATTTGGAACTGCTGTACCTGGGCCAGGATGAAGTAACCTGTACTGGCAAAGAGATGGCCGGGAGATTAGTGCCTGCAGTCAGGTGCCTGAGGTCCCACTCACCCTTACCCACTGAAATCCTTCTCAATAGCTTGTGACTACTGATCTTACAAAAATGAGGCCCCTTCCCTCCCCTTTAGAGCTAGACTCTACCCTGAGGCACCAGTATTGGGGCTCTGAGTAAAGGATACTGGTCATCTTTTAGGGTAAAAACAGGCAAATAAGTGCTGTTTAAATAAACCTCCTGCTTACAGTAAGTTCCTATAGACTACCTCTCTGCCCCCATGCCTCCTGCAAACAGAACCACATTCTTCATTTGCCTGGTCTTGTCAGTCTTCTAAAGTTGAAGACACAGATGCCTGCAGCTCAGATTGTTCTGCATCTTTGTTCCCTGGGGCACATTCTCTTTTGGCAGCTGTGCTGCTCAGAGGCTGCATGGTTGCTGTCGCTGCTGCCAAACAGCGTAGCTCCAGAGAAGGCCGAAGGGGCAGACCCTCTGCAGCAGGCAGGAGCACATCTGCAACCCCCCTGCCCCCGCCCACTGCCCCAGGGCCCAGTAGTCCAAGATGCTTCCTGCAGGCTACCTGGAGGAAGAACAGAGGGGCAAGGCTTTAAACGTTCTTCCCTGCCAATCTTGCCATTCCAGCAGGGCTGCAGTAGTGCAGCTTGGAAGCCACGCTGAAGCACAGTGACTCTTAGTGGAAGGCACGATTACCACTCTCACCTTGCAAGAAGTTCAAAGAACCTCTATTCCTAAGGGTCAACCCTCTGAAAAGCATTGGTTTGAGGAGGATAAGGGAGGGAAAGTGGAGATAACATGGCTTTCTAATCACACTGTGGTATTGCAGCATACATTTTAAGTGAAGAAGTACACCTAGACAGAGTGTCAGCTATAATTTAGAACTAAATTGATGAGCTTGAAATAGCAGCAGTGGCTGACTCCCCTTCCTTGAGAAATGCTTCCTTTTGACTGTTCCTTGGTCTGTTTTTAAGAGAATCCCCCCTTGGCCGGGCGCAGTGGCTCATGCCTATAATCCCAGCACTTTGGGAGGCTGAGGCGGGTGGATCACGAGGTCAAGAGATCGAGACCATCCTGGTCAACAAGGTGAAACCTCGTCTCTACTAAAAATACAAAAAAATTAGCTGGGCATGATGGTGCGTGCCTGTAGTCCCAGCTACTCGGGAGGCTGAGGCAGGAGAATTGCCTGAACCCAGGAGGCGGAGGTTGCGGTGAGCCGAAATCGTGCCATTGCACTCCAGTCTGGGCAACAACAGCAAAACTCCGTCTCAAAAAAAAAAAAAGAGAATCCCCCCATTGCACTTCATCTTGGCATGGTGGAGTAATGGAGACACAGGGGGACCAGCTGAGGCTGGCTTCTCAGGAAAGGCACTGATTACAATGGCTACTTTCTTCTTTGCTTGATTGCCTGCTGCCTTTAAAGGCAAAGCTGCACCAGCCCTGACCAAACCTTAGTTCCAGAAGTGGGTTCAGCATAGGTTGCTTCATTTCTGTCCATGGAAAAACCAGAAGGATTCTCATTCCCTCTTATTCCAAATGGGAGAACAAACAAAAGTAACCACTGAGGTGGTAGTCTCTGGGCTGGCAGAGGAAAACCGTTCTCTCCTTAGTACTCCCTATTGCCCAGGGAGAATGTGGCCTACACAGCTTCACTGTATCAGCATCCCCCAAGCAAACCAAAAAATGACACCAGGGATTCATGGCAGGGAAGTTAAGGTTGGGGCTAGGTTTGGGAGTGAAGAGCATTAGGAAAAGGGTCTGCCATATTGTGAGGCTCTGAGTACTCAGGAAGAGACAACATCACTGACACTACCTCCAGGAAACTTGTCTAGGGAGGAGTCAGAGAGGGCAGGTGTGGTCCACCGGTTTCTTCAAGAGGAGATGGAGGGCACTGAGAGCAGATGGTTTGTGGTCAGCTTAAAGGCAAAGAGAGTCTAAAATATTGAACTTAAAATTGTTTCAGGCAGTTTCACATTAAGAGCTACCTCATCCATTTGACATTTTGGGAAATACAGGTTATATAAAATAGAAGGCCATTATCGGTGGGAAAATGTAAAGCCAAGTAAGCTTCAATTTAAAACACAGACATACTCAGTACTGCTTGACCAAAACTACAAAAAAACCAAACCAAACAACCTACCAAACCAATAAAACGCAACTCTGGAAAGAAGCTACTTCAGTAAAATCTTTTATAAACAAGTCAGGGTAAAAAAAAATCTAGCTGTTGATGAAGCCCAGGAAAATCCCCCTGCCTAGAGGAGGACAGCAGGACTTGAAGGTCGACCAGCCTAGCCTGGAGACCATTATTCTATGGCACAAAAATAACAGGAATGAGGCATCAGCCAAGGACTCTGCTTACAGCACAGAACTCACAACTGTCACCCTTCACTCACAACAGGCTTCTTCCTACTAAGGATGAAGCAAAAGATTCACAATGATGTACTAGAAAATCACAACAGTTAACATTTACAATTAGACTCCTTCCCCGTGAATAGGGACTGCAAACCCAGACAGAGCTAGCCTGGCCACCGCCTCCCAACGAAAACGCCTTGGGAAAAGCCAAACGTGCTCACTGCTACACAAAATTGTCAGCTAAAGGGAAAAGAAATCCCTTTTAAGGAAAGTAGCTTCAATAGGCTGCTTTTCTGCCAGGATTTTCAATCCCTCTGAACATAAGCCGAGCCACAGACTGCCGCACGTATGTCTGGGTCCTGCTGTTTCTTCCCTCACCCCTCCGCAGAGCTTCAGCACCAGTTGTTAGCCAAAAATAAACACCATTCCTCAACCATATATGTCCACTGGCAGGCCAGAACTGGGGAGGAGAGAAGGCAGGTCAGCCCGTCCCCTAGCTGCCGCACTCACATGTGGCCGCTGCTCACCATGCACATAACCCAGCTCAACCGGGAGTGCCTGCTGCACCTCTTCTCCTTCCTAGACAAGGACAGCAGGAAGAGCCTCGCCAGGACCTGCTCCCAGCTCCACGAGGTGTTTGAGGACCCCGCACTCTGGTCCCTGCTGCACTTCCGTTCCCTCACTGAACTCCAGAAGGACAACTTCCTCCTGGGCCCTGCTCTCCGCAGCCTCTCCATCTGCTGGCACTCCAGCCGTGTGCAGGTGTGCAGCATTGAGGACTGGCTCAAGAGTGCCTTCCAGAGGAGCATCTGCAGCCAGCACGAGAGCCTAGTCAATGATTTCCTCCTCCAGGTGTGCGACAGGTAGGCCACCTTGCCTCCTGAGCAGTGCTGGCCCCGCTAGCTCTGGCTTCCCTCTTGGGGGTGGGGGGCAGACAAGAGCAAATTACGAGACCAAGATGGCTCCACCTTGGGGGTGCCTCAAACTAGGCCCAAGGCAGACACGGCCCACCCAAAACACGGTCCCCAGTAGACAGATACAATCCTGAGGGAAACCACTGCTAATCTTCTCAGCCTCACAGGTCCTGGAACTGCTTCATGCAAACACCAAGAAGTGGGGTCTCAGTTGTCCCTGCCCTTTGGGCAGCTGTCCTCCCTGGTAGTCATTAAGTGCTAGGTGGGTCCATCTCGGCCTGGATTTTCAAGGTCAGGCTCTGGGAAAAGGCTTCCAGATACAGCTATCAGCTCACCCCTCCATTAGGCCTAGCAAACAGCCCCCGAGGCCTGGGAAACACTGCAGAGGAAGGAGAGGCGGGGGAGCCAGGGTGCCCAGGTCACCTTAGCCAAACCAGACTCCTGGAGAAGATGAATTACTGATTTAAACAGTACTCCTAGGGAGGGTGGCTTAGCCTAATTTTTCAAATTGGCAAACTGATGCTCCATGAGGTGGTGAGATTTGCCCACAGCCTAGAGTTGCCAGATTTTAGCAAATATATAGGCTGTCCAGTTAAATATGAATTTCAGATAAACAATGAATTTTAAGTGTATGTCCCAAATACTTCTTGTATCTATCTGCTAACCCCACCCCAGACACAGACGCTGAACCATCAGGCCAGGATCCCTCCATCGTCCCAGCCTCATGGGTAGAGCCGCCCAGGCAAGAACAGGGGTACTCAACCAGCCTCTCACTGAGCTTCTGCCTTTGAGGAAAAACACCCCCTCGATCACTTAAACTGGGCCTGGCTGTTCATGGAAAACTAAGCTCAGCCAGTTTACTGCCACCCAAGTTCACAGCTGCTATTTACTGGCAGCGCGACAGGAGTGGAAGGAAACAGCGTAGTGACCCCACCTTTCTTTTGAGCTGGTAGGAAGGAAACAGAAGATGGACTTGGGGCTGGGTCCTGGCTGGACAAGGCCATTTTGACAGGCTTAATAAGGCCCAGGAATCAGACTAGAGAGTGATATTGAGGGTGGGGGCGGGCGCATAGCAGAAGGAGTCCTGAAGTTGTTCCATTTTTACTCTACGAGAACCGAGCTTCATGCCCCAAATCTGCGAGGTGTGGAGTGGACCTCCCAGGCCTCTGTACTGGTCACGCAAGGGACCCTGCTGTCACATAAAAAGAAAAGGGCTTTGCTATCACGGCTCTCTGCTGAGAGAGTGCGTCCAACCATGTGACCCCAGCTCCAATATCTAAACTCTTGCAACCTCATTTCTTCTGTAAAATGTGCTAAATTTTCCTCATCCCACAGGGGAAGAGGATTAAATGACACAGTGGCACCTGGCACATAGTAGGCACTGATGAACGTCTACCGAATCTGGTTCTTCTGGCACTCAGCTCAGGTTGGGAGGAATGGCTGAGGATAGCTGGGCAGGGGACAGTCGGCTTCCCCGCCCCCCCATCCCCCCCGCATCAGAATTATTCAAAAGGTTCTTAGGTAAACGATCATCCAACACCTTTGAGGCTTAAACACCTAATCCTTATAACCACCTTGAAGGTAACAATTCCTCCCACTTGACAGATGAGGAAGAGGCACCCAGCAAGGTTCAGACATCTGTCCCGGGTCCGCAAATAAATCACAGGCCAGTCACTTGGGCTCCCTGGGCCAGCTGCCTCATGAACAAAACTGCGGGTGTAGAGGTTGAATGGGGTGAGGAACGAAGGCACATGAACCTGAAAGAGGCCTAGGCTCTGTGTGAAACGTGGCTGGGTCCAGCATATTTTAGTTCCTTACTTCCCAAACCAGGCACCAAGGAGCTCAGCTGGCCCAGCGGGGGCAGTCGCAGAGCTGCAGAGGCGGCTGGCCGGGAAAGGGAAACACTTCCCCAGACCAGACTCCAGCTGCTTCTTGCTGCGGAGAGCCAAGCCCACTGGTTCCATGAGTCGGTCCTTCTGGACTGGAAGCGGCTGGTCCCGCGCATTATGACTGTGGAGGGTCCCCACTGCAGGCTCCTCACAACCCCAACGGTAGACGTTATTCCCCCGACGCAGAGGAAAACAAGGTTCTGGGAGTGACTGACATGGCGACAAGCCAAGTCGAACTTTGCTCAAGATCTTTTCTCGTTGGGAGGGGCTGATGAGGCGGCAAAAGTGGGCCCCCCAAGCTTTCTGGGCAAGCAACCTGGGTGTCCCTGACTGTACCTGCTCAGGGCCTGCCTCTAGCTGCCTCCGATTCCTGCCCTTTTCCAGGCTGGTGCCCCAGGGGAGGCAGGAACAGCTCTAGTCAACTAAGCTGAACCCGGAGTCAATGCTGACGCCTGCTCCCACCACCTCGAGGGTTGGGATGGTCCTGTCACTAAGCCATCTCCAAGGAACAAATCCCTCTTCCCGCTCACGTCCCGCCGGTACATTCAGGGGCCTCAACTTGAAGCTAGACTGGAGCAGTGGCCACGCACCGCTCCCCTGCGCCAGCACGTCCGGAGCTAAACAAAGAGACAAGGGCTGTGGCTCCTGAAACCGGCAATTCCCTCTGTCCACAGCCGCCCCAGGACTCTGCTGAGCCGGGGTCGGAGCTTTCCCACCAGGGGCTCCTCAGGCTACGAGCCACGAACCCACGTAGATCAAGGTACGCTGAGATGCAGGGGCAGAAAGAGCAGGGAAAATGGGCCGGCCAGAAAGCTGACTTGGAACCCTGCGAGTCGTCGCAGCCAAGTGTCTTCACTTCGCAGGCCCCGAGTCCTCGGTAAATAAATACGCCCGTCCCCCGGGGCGGTTGGGTGGCTTCAACGAGCCAGTGGGCCCCGGGTCACCGCGCTTTCCCCACAGGTGCCCCAATTTGGCATCCGTCACTCTGTCGGGCTGCGGCCACGTCACCGACGACTGCCTGGCGCGCCTGCTTCGCTGCTGCCCACGCCTGCGTGCACTGCGCCTGGAGAACTGCGCGCGCGTCACCAACCGCACGCTAGCGGCCGTGGCGGCGGACGGGCGCGCGCTGCAGACGCTGCACGTGGACTTCTGCCGCAACGTGAGCGCGGCCGGCCTGCGCCGCCTGCGCGCCGCATGCCCGCGCCTGGCCCTGCGTGCCGAGCACAGCGCCGCCATGCTGCCCGACCAACCCCCGCGCCCGCGCGCGCCCGCCGCGACCCTCGGCAAGCTGCTGCAGCACTAGATACCGCCCCGCCGCGACCCCGGGGGGAGGAGCGCAGCCCCAGACATCCTGGTTTCGACCCCAGCTCTTCCACCTTCCAGACCAGCACCGCATCTTCTGAGCCTCAGTTTCCCCATCTGCACAGTGGGGACAACAATGCCTACCTCACGTTACGACTTTATACCCAGAGGAACGCAAGATTAAATGGATGTTTGGAAAAGACTCGGCTGGTTCTCACTCAACACCACCGCCTTTCCCCTCTCGCTTCCGCCCCAGCTTTGTGCGGTGCGCCCCCAACGACGGCGGGAGGTGCCTCGCCGTCCTCGGGGACTCTGCTCGCTATTGGGTGGAAATCACCTTGGTGGGGAGGGCTTCACCACTCAGAGCTCGCCCGCTGGCGCGCGGGGGTGAGAGGCCAGGGCTGCGGTGCGCAGGGTCCTGGAGAGCCTCCGGGCGGAGCGACCCCTCGAGACCCAGTGGCCTCCCGGAGTGTCCTGGGGACCGTCGCCTCCAAGGGCCACCGGTAGTGATCTCGGCGAAGCTGGAGGAGGGAAAGCCGGGTGCCCCTCCCTGCGGTTTGCCCGCGCGCGCGCCTGCCTGCTCGCCTTTGCTGGGGCAGATGAGTTCCCGGAGTGACTGCACTCGCTATTGTAGAAAATTCTCTCCCAATTGTTGAATTCTTACGTAAACTGCACAGTTACCCATATTTTCTACTGTTCTCATCTCATAAGGGAAAAAAATGATTTGGAAAAACAAAAAACTTCAAACTAAATATTTAAATATTTAAAAACAAAAGCAGCAGCCTTGGCTAAGCTTTTGATAATGGAACCATTTTAAGCTGATGACAAGCTAGATTTTCACCTGTTGGATTTGCTGGATATGAGCACAAGCCTGGACTTCCCATTTCAATTTCAGGACTGTAGTGACTGACGTCCCACATTTAGTGAAGGCTCTCGCCTCCTGGCAGCCGCCTGGTCCTGAGTCCCTGCGGAGAATTCTGGGTGGGTGGAAGAGGCGGGGAGCAGTGTGGCGCTGCTCACGCTCCGGCTCCACCCAGCCCGAGCTGTGACCAAGCCCTTCACCCATCCAAGGCCAGGTGTGAAAGAGGAGCTTGATCCCTACTCACAGGTTTCTTAATTCATTGCTCAAACAGGGAAACAGCAAGGAAAAAGACAGATTCTGTTCTCATGAAGCTTACGTTCTAGCTGAGGGACAGACAACAGGCAACTGGCATGCAAGAAGGTAGAAATTATGGAAAAAAGTGCAGGCTGTAAGGGGCTATCAGGAATTGCTGGCAAGAAACTGGGGGGTGGAGTGAAGCCTCTGAGAAAAGGTTGACCAATGTAAGCTTCATTGAGATGACATTTGAGACATGAAAGCCAGAGAGACAGGCAAGCAAGCCATGTGGAAGGAAGGCACTCCTGGCAGAGGAACCGTCAGTGCAGAGGCCGCGGACTACAGGTGTGGCTCGTGTTGGGGGAACAGCAAGTTGGTCAGAATGGCTGGAGCAGAGTGAATGAGGAGGGAAACTGAGTAGCAGATACTCAGAGAAGCAATGTATCCTGCAGCTCAACTCCAAATGCATTTTAAACCTTTTTTTCCTTTCTCTTGAATTTCAAGATACAACCTTGAGGCAACTGCAAAAGCCGATCCTCAGCCTTAAAATAGACTCCATGTCCCTCCCTTTTCTCACTATATATGCCCCCTTTGCATTTAACTCTATGCTACTATCTAATTATGTTACGTCTTAGAAGTTTCAGGGGCTAATCTTAAGTCTGGAGACCCAGCTGTAAACCTCCAAAAATTACTTCAAAATGGCGAATTAACCACCTGGCCATTGTTAAAATAACGTCAATCTGAGGTCCAGGTGGACTGAAACCCAAGATAGCCACCAGAACAAAACAGACATCATACTCAGCCCAGTTCTTGTACACCTTCCTTATCAAGTCTTTCCTTTTAAAACCCCTAAAAACTTCCCCCCTAAAAACTGAAGCAGTTACTTTAAAGAGCAATCCGACTACTTCCCCCTTTTCTAGCTTGGGTAATAAATTTGATTTTATTACCAGACCTCGCTCTTGTTAATTCAAGCATCTGCACCTGTTTCGTTCCGTTACAGTAAGGGATGGAGGTAGCAGTGAATGGACAGATTAATGTGAGGATGAAATGAAAGATCAAGGTTCCCCCTCAGCCCAACCTACCGCCAGCAAGAACCAGGGCCCCATGCACAGATGGTAGGTGAAGTCCCAGGGGCACTGGATTTTTTTCCAGGCAGGACAGGTGAACAGGCAACCAGCACCCTGTCCTACCCCAATCCCTCTGGGGACTGCTGAAGGGCCCCTGGCTGGGGCAGTACTTACTCCAGAAACAGGGAGTAAGCCCTGGCCAGAATAATCTCTTCTAATCCCTGTGTTGGGAGAGCCAGCTCTGTCACACTACCAGCTGCAGTGGAGTGGCAGGACCCTGCTACTAGCCTGTGAGACCCAGGCTGCTTCTGGGTGACTTCCCAGTTTGCCCACCACTGCTTTGTAATCTGGAGAGGCCTTGTTGGGAATGAATTTTTCTCCCATTACTCTGAACACTGTTGAAAGCAAGCTCAGGCTTCTAGAGGGTTGAATGTTTGTCTACAACAGAGCCACTTACACCCGAGGGCTTTGCTTTCATCATCTCCAATGAGCCCCAATTCCCAGCATGTCCTATTTGTCCTAAATTGGTGGCTTAGCCTGGAGAACAACAGGATCCTGGCTTCAGGATCTAACAGATCTGGGTTTCCATCCCATCTCCCTCACTTTAAAGCCCTGTGACCAGAGACAGAAGGCCCTCTCCAAACCTCAGTTTTCTTATCTGAGTACTAAGGATAACAAGGGAACCTTGCTTTTGGGGTTCTTGTAAGGTTCGCTATTGACTATGTAAAGCAGAGGTCTCTGTAGGTTGAGCTAGAATGGGGTAATCTGCATTCCCTGAAGGCCTCCCTTTCCCATGGAAGCTCTTTTGTAGATGAGGGTTAAGTTCCCAGGTTAACCCTCCAATGCCCATTAACCCCCTTGCATCCCAAGGCATAGTGATCACAGAACTCAAGCAGGGCTCACAGCTGTGTCCACTGCTGTTTCTAGGGATACAAGCTGGCCCCCACCTAAGCCAGAGGAGCTTTGGGTTCTGAATGTGATGGGTCATTTCAGGTGACCCAGAAGGTGGGCACTGATGGAGACACATGGCTCTCCACTCTATCTTGTAACAGTCACTGTTCACCATCACCAGGCATGAGCAAAGCACTTAACAGAGTGCAATACCTCCCTTAATCTAAAACACCACTTTTGTAGCTTCCAGAGAGCTACATGCATGGAGGTTCCTGGAGGGTGGCATGCCCAGGGAAGGAATGGAAGCTCTGTGCCCCTCCCCCATTAATTAAAAAGTAAAAAAACAAAAGAAAAACCCTTTCAGACTCAGGTTAGCATACAACAAAGGGTCCTGCAGGCTAAATTAATCCACCAACGAATTCATCTCACAAGCATTTACTGGGTATTGTGCATGCGTTGGGGGCCAGGTTCTACCTGATGAACTCAGCCCTAGTTGGAAGACACGCAGCTGAGCTTGAGAGGTGCTCTTGAGCAATCTCCAAGCTTTGCTGTCATAGCTTTTGACAAGATATGAAGCTCTCTGAGCTTCAGTTTATTTGTAAAATGGGACCAATACTCTCTCTGTGACATTGTTATAAGATTATGTCTAAATATGCAGGGCCTGGAAGTCAGGGATAGGGGAATGTATCTTCATATCCATGGGGGGGCTAGAAAAGCTGAGAGCCTGGCACAACCCACAAGTCCCAGGCACTGGGAAGCAGTAAGCCAGGTCTATTTGTGGGTAAGCCAGGCATGCTTTGTGGCAGACAGAGCTTTTGGGCTGGGCCTGTGGGCTGACCCCAGTTCCCACAGGTTCCAACTCTAAGAAGGATGTTCCCAGTGGCAGGCATGGCACAGAAAAGGCAAAGGTCAAGAAGCCCAAGGCATATCCAGGGAAGGGTGAGCCAGGGTTGATGGGAGCCTGATTGTGTTCTCAAGCCACCCAGAGATGGCTTGGGATTATCTATGCCCTCACGGTCTCAATTAGATCACAGACGCCCCTCAACTCTGGGAATCCTAACTTTTTCAAAGGTTTGGCCAAGGCAGCGAATGGTCACGTGCAGGAGGAATAGGTGGTTGGTAGAACCTCAGCGCTAGGGCAGGACACTGGCTGGAGGCTGGCCTGTTACCACGTTGCGCTGCTCTGCGCAGGAGCCCCACTGCCAGCAGAGAGACAAGGGGCAGAGGCCCTTAGGTCAGGAGGTGGTGCGCTGAGCCTTGTCTTGCAGGGACACACTGGCCTGTTTCTGCACAGGATGAGTGTTTGGAAGGGACATGACTGAGCGCCCCCTGGCGCTACCACGGCATGCTGACAGAAAGCAGACTCCCAGTTCTCGCCAGGGTGTACCTGTGATCCCGCTTTCCCTCTCCTGATCTTGGATTCTTGGTTTATACAGGCAGAGATCATCTGACCTCTTTGAGACTTTCCCTTCAGCTCTAGGATTCAATGCCTAAGATCTGCTTTTGGCTAAAACCCAAGCTCACCAGATGTAGGCTTCATCAGGCCAGAAGTCCTGGGCAAAGGCCATAAAGCTAGGAGGCCCAGAACAAAGCCATATTTTGAAAGATGTCTGGAGAAATCTTAAATTTTAAAAACTGACAGTCAAAGTTTTCTTGAGACTGCTTAAGGGTCTTAAAAACTGCAAGTATTTGTTAAGTGAATGAGGCCAGCAAACAAAAAACTGCCTAAGCCTCTCTAAGGGCTGAAAGTGAACCACGGAAAGCTCCTGCATCAGGTCCATTGCAGCTCCTCAGATCAGGGACTTGTGCTTCCCCCTCTTCCAGATTTTTCAAAAAGTCAAGAGAGACGGGGCACAGTGGCTCACACCTGGAATCCCAGCACTTTGGGAGGTCAAGGTGGAAGGACTGCTTGAGGCCAGGAGTTCCAGACCAGCCTGGGAAACACAGTGAGACCCTGTGTCTGCAAAAAAAATGAATAGTCAAGACAATGAGGAAATAACAAGTTTCTGGCAAAGAAATAGTGTGTGTTATAAAACCATAGCACTGTGCCAATTCTTTTCACAGGGGCAAACCTGAACAGTTGTCTCTTAGCCCTGAGCCCAGGACCTGAAACCACAGTGCCAGCCTTCTGGGGTGCTCCTGCCTCTCAGTCCAGAGCAAACCGTGGCAGCGGCACAGGATGAGGTGTTATTTTGAATTTAGAGACTGCAGATGTATCCTTTGCTCTGCATGTCCTCAGCCCAGCTCTGCAAGAGGGATGTAGGAAGCGGCTCAGAAGACCTTAAGAGGCCTCTCCTGGATCATCCAGGATCTTGGAAGCACAGATGCCTTTCTTTTCTTAGAGAAATTCTCTCTTGGTCCAGAGACCTAGGCAGGGTTTTCCCACCACAGCAGGAAGACTTCAAGCCCAGAGCCCTTCAACAATGCTACTGACTACGCTCTTAGTATTAAAGGCTCATCTTTACCCAGAACTCCTGGGGTTTCCCCAAAAGCTATAATCTCCCTCCGAGACCCAATTGTAGTTGAAGCCTTTTTAAAAATAACACAAATAAGTCATCATTCTAAATATTATTAGGTATT